GCTAAATTGGACATGATTTCCGTAAGAGTCTAATTCTCAACATGTAATTGATAGTTTAAAATATTTGGTTGAATCAAACAGTTGCAACTTAGCATTTATCACTGAATGTGCAGGAAATAGAAAAACTGATGTCAGAACAAAAAGCTGATTTCACTGTCAAGATGGACTAATTCCTGTTTGTTGTTATATGTTTATGATATTTCTATTGACATATTTATATGGCTTTGTCGGAAATTGTTGTATCTTGGGCATTTTAGTTTTACTTCTGCATTTTTTAATTGTAACAATTTCATTCTTTTCAACTCTTTTATCCTCGTTTTGTTAGAAAAATGCCATAATGCACTTGTTAAATGTTTGGAGCTATATATTCCTGAATTGAACAGATTGTTTTGGTCTATATTCATATAAAGTACTTTAATAACACACGCAGTATTTAACAGTATGTTGTATTTTCGATGTAGGAAAATACATCATTATTAGTTTGTCTAATTTGTTGGATCGTGATGCTGGAAGCGTATAGACTCGACCTAGTTAGTGATAAAATGGGGGGGACAGTAATGGCCCCCATTACTCAGAGCTGTCAGCATGCACCCACCTGACTCGGACACCCTGCATCTTCATCCCCGTCTGTCTCTCCGTCTCCATCTGCCTCTCCTCCCCTCTGACAGCCTCCTTTACGGGTTTCAGCTCATCACTGAAACAGGTCCGAATGTCCAGGGTCGGGGGTTCAGAGATGATGGTGCATGAAAAAAGACGAGTCCTTTATTGTGGCTTTTGGAGAAAATGGGGTCAGTGATAACTGAAGATGACTGAAAAATGAAAAAAATAAAAACAATGTCTAACTCAGCACATGGAAATATATCAAGAAAAAAAATCTAAATGATTAAAAGGAAAATTTTGATATGAAAAAGTTTATTTATTAGCATTTGAGCTAATCACAGCAGGGTTTTCTTTGACAGTCTTTTGTCTGAAAAGTTTCCCGCTTTAGATTTTCAGAATTGTCCTTGTGACAGTGCAAGTAAATGACATTTAGCTCATATTTGTATAGTGTCATTTAACCTTGGCTAGTACATTATGATGTCATATACAGTACACACATTATGAAAGTACTTCTCATCTTTTAGCCCCTTTTTTTATCCATCAACAACATACTGTACCCCCACCGCTAAGCAAATTAGCAGCACCGTGGATGAATGTCATTTCCGAGAACGCTTCAATGAGAGGTGTCGGGCATCGAAACACCGAGATGACAGAGTGGTGGTCAAGTGCTTGTGATGGAGAAGTGACTTTGTATTTTTAGACTTTGGCACGTCACAGAAATTTGTGTTGGTCCCTTCATGAAATGGCTGGGATCGTGCTGAGGATGCTGACTGAAAGGCTAGCTGCAGATAGACTGTTCACAGTCTGGTGTCTGATAACCAAAGGCAGTTAACAAGTATTCATACATGCCTGAACCCTCAGCAGACTCTCAATTCCATCATATGGCAATTACTCTCTAAGATGGAGGCCAAACACTAAATTTGGTTAACTGTATCTACAATCTGTATCTTATGACCAGAATGAAAAAAAAACACTTCTACTTTTGGCTCTCTTCCTCTTACCACAATAAGGTGGTGCAGAGCCCTCATTTCTGATGTGGGAAGCACAGACTGTGATGTGAATGTATCTCTGCAGCCATCATGACTCGGTCAAACTCTATTTAAGACTCACACTCTAGTTTAAACGACGACCATGGCTTTCTTCCCAATAGCTTTGAACTCAGTTGAAAACCAGTCCTGTTCCTTTAAAAGGTCATAGCTTGATGAGTCCATTTCTCATCAGGAAGAACTCCAAGGAGGAGGTTGCTGGTTTAAGGACAAACTAAATGCCTCTTTACTTATTAAATGTACAGGATCCGCCATCTTCTTCCTCTCTTGGCAATGGGCTGTGATACCGTTAGAAATTTAAACAGTTTCCTGCTAAGTTTCACAAAATTTATTTATTGGCTTGTTATGACTATGAGTTTAACTTTACTTTTTGAGCTGAGCGGCCCATCTGTTTGGAACAAAGTGGTGTGGAGTCCAGTGAAGTGCTGGCCCATGCCCATTTAGCAGGACACATCATTTATTTCCAGTAATTAAGATACTCCCCATTAAGCTGTTATCATTAATACTTCTATTTGTAATTTAACTTTATATCATTACAGTTAATACCAATTAATATTAGCATATTAGCCAGCGGAGGCCCGGTAACAAATGCCTGAGTCTCATTATTAACATCACAATAAATAAACCTCAGCACTTGAAAAAAAAAGCTTTTTTAAAAAAAAAAAAAGCAAGCTGAAGGTCATACAAAACCTACTAAAAATAGAGCAGCAGCTGCGTCACCATAAAGCAAATGAAAGCGTGCTTAGTTTGAGTGTGTGAATAGTGAGAGAACAACTCTAGACACATTTCTAAACAAAATGTTATGATATATACATCTTTTAAAAGCTTTTTTTTAGTTTAGATTTGGCATATTTCATACATTTTGAGGAAGTGGATGTATCCAGACTTTTGACTGGTGGTGCACACGTATATTTAAACATTTTCAACTTGTAAATCTGCCGTTTGTACCTGTAGGTGCTGCATCAATATGAGATCCTGAGGGGGTACGCAGACATAATTCAGCATGACATGTTCTCTGTTGACAGGGTCGCTGTTCAATGTTGTTGAGACCCAAAGCCTTATTAAGATCCTTATCAGTCCAAAGGAAAAACAGAAAAGGGTCCTCCCGGCAGCCCTGAACACCTTCCCGTTA